GGGACGAGCGGGGGATGGGTAATGGAGGCGGGGGGAACCCAGCTGGGTATAGATGACCCGGGCCTGCTGGGGGCACAACCGCGAGTCATGCCCCCCCCCCCGGGAAAGCAGCCCCCCCCCCCGCAGCTCCTAGCTGTTCCTCTGCTGCTCCGCAGGGAGTGGGTGGGCCCGGCTGCGCCATGTGACTGAGCAATGGTGGGGGGATGTTACTCCACATATCCCCCACCCCCCGCCATGTGTCACCTAACCGGGCTTGCACCACTGGGGGGGGGGGAGTGTCAAGCCCCTGGCCAGCTTGGGGTGCCTTGTGCTGGAGCGCAAGAAAGTGACAGCCCCCGGGGAGACCTGAATGGGCAAGGGGATGGGTTCGTAGGGCAGGGGATGGGGAGGGGTCGTTATTTCCGATTGTATCAGACTAGGGGGGTGGGAGCGGAATTCTCCCGCTGGGGGTAGCAGGCTGCTAGGGATGGCTGGAGGGGGGGGGTGGTCCTTCCGCCTGCTGCAGGGTAGCAGCTAGGGAATAGATTTGGGGGGGGGGGTCCTCCATCTTGCTGTGTGGGGGTGGGAGGTGGACAGGGGGTGGGAGGTGGACAGGGAGTTGGAGGTGTGGAGGAGGGTGTCTTTCCCCCATTGTTATGGGGAGAAGGGAGGGCTGGAAAACATGGAGCTGGGTCTGTACTTGTGAGCAGGTGATCTGAGTTGACAGGCTGGTACTAGGGCAGGAGATGGGGGTGTTTGTTTTGCAGGGGGAGGGGCAAGGTGTGAGGGAGCCTCTGCCTCTTAACCACATTTCTCTCACTTCTTGCTCCGCTCTGCCTCCCTCCCCCGCTCCCATCCCCATGCAATCTGGACACTTAAAGCCAGATTTTTTCATAGCTGAGCCGCTTTGGGGATCTTTGAAGTGTCCCACCGGGAGCTGCTGGGTGCTGAGTACTCGATGTGGCTTTTAGGGAGGTGATTACATGAGACAAGAATCCAGGCCTCCAAATCCTGGCCCTTAATTCTTAGTGGGTGGAGCTGAATTGGGATTGCAGCCTCAGATCTCTATCAATAACAGGGTGCATCTCACAGCAGATCTGCCCTTCCCTTCCGCAGCTCCCAGGGGTGCTGGGCTGAGGGATGAGTCTGTGGGGGAACCCAGAGCTAGAGTGGCAGGAGCAGTTTGTCGCCCTTTCCACGGAGCGTATTGCACCCATCCCATTCACAATATGGCAGTCCTGGGTCCACTATACCCAGCTTTGCTGGTGCCCTATAGTTCTTGTAGCTCTGGGCTCCCCTCCTCACCCAGTGGCCCTCAATCCCAATCAGAGCTCTGCCAATTCCCCTTAATCCTGACCCATGTTCCCCTCTGCTATTCCAGCCCCAGGCTCCACCCCCCACCTGCTCTGCGGATGCCCCTGTGTCCTGACTTTCAGTCCCCACTTCTTACTTCAAGCCCTGGGCTTCCCCGAACTTTGCTTATGCCCCTCAACCCTGACCCACAGTCCCCACAGCTGTTCCAGCCCAGCTCTGCCAGTGGCCCTCAGTCCTGACCTGCAGCCCTCTGCCATCCATGCCCTGAGCTCTTCTGGTGCCCCTCCATCCCCACCTGCAGCCTTCTGCTGTCCCAGCCCTGAGCTACCCCGCCCGCAGCCAGCATTGGCGCTACTCCTGCTTCCAGACCTGCAACACACCCGCTGACTTCCACTGCTTCCTTTCCAGGTGAAATCACCAGCTTCCACAAGAGCAGTTTAGGATCCACTTGTCACTAATACACCTTTTCCCTCTAGGGCTCGGAGACTGTCCCCTCTATACCCTGTCTGTGCCTGAAGGCTCCTCTGGGCATGTTGAAATTACCATACCGAAGGATATATCTACTTTGTGTAAGATGCAAACCACCACCTCTGCCTCCTCTGACTGCTCGTAACTACATCATGGCTTTAAATCAAGGAACCCCAAAGTACTACAACAGCACATACCGGGGATGGATCGCTCTATCAGACCAGCTCCTCTTTACTGTGACGAATGCACGTGAATGGATGGCCGGAGAATACCAAGTCGTTAGTGTCCTTTATGAAACCTGCATGGCTCATATCAATCTGACGGTGCCTGGTAAGTTTCCCAGGTGCCTCGAGGTTTATGGCCAGTTGGACTCGGGTTCAGTCTCATTCACAGCCTTTCCCCCCTCTATCCGATGTGCGGAAGTGGTGTATAATTCCCGGGGATGTCGTTCAGAGCCGCATAGTTCTCCTGCCTAGGCGTCCCTCGGGATGTTTTCTTGGAGGCAGATGAGTCGAGTGGATAAGGCGCTGGATTGGGACTTTGAAGACCTGGCTTGAATTCAAAGCTCTTCCTGATTTGCTGGGTGACCTTGGGCAAGTCGCTGCCCCTGTGCCTCGGTTTCCCCATCTGTACAATGGGGAGGATGATACTGACCTCCTCTGTAAAGTGCTTGGAGGTCTATGGGTGAGAAGTGCTGTAGAAGTACTCAGTGTTGTTTATGACTCCTGCTGGGCCTCTGTTTCTCCTCCCATGTTAGGGAGGAAGGAGGGCCTTGTGCTTGGTCTGCCGGCTCGGGACTCAGGAGACACAGGGCCAATTCCCAGCTCTGCCACAGACTGTCTGAGTGACCTTGGGCAAGTCACTTAGCCCCAGATTTGTAAAGGTATTTAGGCATTGCTACACACAGTGTCACAGTGCCTAACTGATTTAGGAGCCTAACTCTTTCAAAAGGCATTTGGGCACATGGGAGCTGAAATTCCACAGTCTGTCAATGGGATCTTTTTTCCTAAGTGCCTCAATCCCTTGTGAAAAGTGATGTAGGCTCCTAACTCAGTTAGGCGTTGTGACCCTGTGCGCAGCAATGCCTAAATACCTTTACAGAATGCAGCAGTCCCAAAACACACGCCAAGTATTGCATCCGTTCCAGCTCAACAAGTCTCCTGAATCCTGGGTTTCTCTAGCTTATTGTCAGGCTCAACTTTCTCTCATGCCTTTAAAAAAAAAAAAAATCTCTAGCCCAGCCAGCAGATATGGGCTGGATACAGGAATCACTGGGTGATGTTCTCTGGCCTGAGTTATACAGAAGTTCAAATCAGCTGATCTAATGGTGCCGTCTTGCCTTAGATTCTGCGTCCTACTGTTTGCCTGCAGGTCCCGTCTCGTTACCGCCTGTATCGGAGACCTCCTCTGCCAGAGAGGAGACTGCCAATGCAGCTGGAGAGGGAAGTAGCCGAGGGACACTTTCCAACCGCTCTCCGGAGGGGGGTACGTATTAAAGACCTGAATCTTTTTATGGGAGCCCTTCCCAGCGGGATCGTGCAGCACTGGGTTAGCGCCTGATCATTTTTATGCAGAACTTGGGGTCTTTGTGTCTTGATCCCAGTGACCACGTGCAGCCAGGGGCTGCCAGATAATTAGAGCCCATGAATTTTTTCTTTTTTAATAATATTTTGTCTTATTTGGGGGGAATCGTGTGGGGTTTTATTTTATCCACATGGTGGTAAGGGAGTCAGGTCCTGCCCCAGGGAGAGGTGTAGGCGGGAGGGCCCAGGCCAGGCTGGGCAAGAGAAGGATTGGAGAGTCAACCCATCCGGCACTCACCCTGCAGTAGCAGCTCCTGTCCTACAGGGCTGGGCCCGCTCCCACCTGGTTTGGCCCATCTGCCCCAGTACCTGAGCGGCACTGTGACCCCATGCACCAGTTCATGACACTGGGAGCTGCGGAATAAGAGGTGGGTTTTTTTTTTGTACCATGGTGATAAACCTGCAGCCCTAATAACTTTTTCCATTTTATACATTGGTGTCTTGGTTTGTATTTCATGGTGGCTCATATCTGTGAATTTCTCAGGGCTCTCCAGATAATTATTTATGCCCAGTGGAACAACAACTTCAGCAGGAGGGACTGAGGGACCCCCACATCAGACTGTCCCCTAGTTCAGTGGGTAGAGCATGTTCCTGAGAGGTGGGAAACTTGGGTTCAAGTCTTTGCTTGGTTTGAGCCTTGGTCGCCAATGCCCTGGGAGGATGCTCTAACCACTAGGTGCTGCCATCTTGTTCTCAAAAAAGGACTGACTCCTCACTTAACGTTGTAGTTCTGTTCCTGAAAAATGCGACTTTAAGCAAAATGATGTTAAGTGAATCCAGTTTCCGCATAAGAATTAATGTAAATGGGGGGTTTAGGTTCCAGGGAAATTTTTTTCATCAGACAGAAGACATATATATATACACACACAGTATAAGTTTTAAACAAACAAGTTAGTACTGCACACAGTTGTGATGATTGTGAAGCTTGGTTAAGATGGTGATGTCAGAGGGTGGGATATTTCCCAGGGAATGCCTTGCTGCTAAATGATGAGCTAGCACTTGGCTGAGCTCTCAAGGGTTAACACGGTGTTGTTAATGTAGCCTCACACTCTATAAGGCAGCACGAATGGAGGGAAGAGACACAGCGTGGCAGAGAGAGACAGAGACCCACACCGTGTGTGTGTGTGTGTGTGCGCGCGCGTGTGCGTGTGAGAGAGAGATGTGCATTGCCCCTTTAAGTACGCTGACCCCACTCTAAGTACGTTGCCTTTTTAAGTAGATCAGCAAGTTGAGATGGGAGCTTCCTGGCAGCAGCTGCCTCCATCCCCCCCCCACTCTGTGGAGATGGGGCACAGGGGGAGGGGGACATCCCCACATCAGCACCTCTCTCCCTCCATCCCCCCTCTGCACAGCAAGCAGGAGTCTCTGGGAGCAGCTCCAAGGCAGAGGGCAGGAGCAGCACATTGAAGTGGGGAGAGGGACAGCTGAACTGCCCAGCAATTGATACCCTGCTGGACGGCTGCTGCACAGGGAACTTAGGGGAGCTGATGGGGGGGGGCTGCCAGTCCACCCTGGTTCCAAGCCCCCATCATTAGCTCCAATGGGCTGCTCTTTCTGCCAGCAGTGGACAAAGCAGGCGGCTGCCAAACAACGTTATAAGGGAGCATTGCGCAACTTTAAATGAGCATGTTCTCGAATTGATCAGCAACGAAACAACGTTAACTGGGACTATGTTAAGTGAGGCGTTACTGTACTTTATGTCCGCTGGAAATGTGGGGGAGAAGGACCAGGAACCCGTCACGGTTGTGAAGAGGAAGGGATCTCGGACTCAGCGGAGTCACCGTTTGCGTGCCGGCTCGTGTCTCGCAGCAGCAGGAGGCTGGAAGCCAATGGAGAGGCTGGCGAAGAGATCTCACTGGAGGGCCATTTGGCCTGGGCCTCAAGCTCAAAGGGGGCCTCCGCTTTAGACACTTGTTCATTTTTTGGCATTTGATAAGTTTCACAACTTGTGTTTGTGCGCATCCCTATCGGACCAAAATGTGACACACAGGCTCAGCTTAGAGCTGCAAATTTAAGCAAAGAAGAGATGTGATTTGGTAAAAGACAGAATTTTTTTGCTAACTGATACAGATTGTCATATTAAAGAGTTAAAATGTTCATAAATATTAATAAAAATATATTGATTCTGATGGCACAAGATTAGACCATCTGTTGTCATTTTTTATTTTTATTATGGCGAGGGGCCTCAAAAGCTGGAAGGGCCTGGGCCTCTCTGGACCTCTGAGAGGGCCTGGGTGGCTACGATCATCCCACTAGCTGGTGGTTTGAGTCTGGATGTGACTTCTCCCAATGTGAGGCCATGGATGCCCTTGTGTTTAATGCTCTGGGCTGAGACTTGGGAGACCTGGCTTTAAGTCCTGGCTCTTCCATCGACTCCCTGTCTGACTTTGGGTGAGTCACTCAGGGCTGATTATTCAGGAACTCAGACTGTCCAAAGGCTCATGGAGCTACTGAACTGGGAGCTGAGCTCGTCTAAAAAATCCGGCCTTCCACCATCCCGTGCCTTAGTTTCCCCATCTTTAAAATGAGCTGCTCCTCTGTGTAGATTACAAGCACTCTGTGGCAGGGACTGTGAGTAGGTGTGCGTGTCCCCCATCACTATGGGGCCCTGACTGGACCTGTATGCTCCCTTGTAATATTTGCCATCATAAGTAAGGCTATGAATGTGTCATGGAGGTCACAGATGCTGTGACGATTTTTTTTACAAGCCCTCCATGACTTGTACATTTCACAAAAAGAAGAACAGGAGTACTTGTGGCACTGTTCTTCTTTTTGCGGATACAGACTAACACGACTGCTACTCTGAAACTTGTACATTTCAGTAATTCAACCCCAGGCAGCAGGGTTTGGACATCCATGATTTATTGTTTCTTGCCCACGTCCTGTCTGTGACTTTTAATAAAAATATCCATGCCACAATTGTAGCCTTCATCATAAGTAAATGTGATTTTAATTGTTTTAAGTCGGTTTTATTATTGTATTTATCTCTGCCTCTCTCCCCTGTCCCTCTTGTCTGTGAAAAAGTTTCTATTTAGATTGTAAGCTATACAGCAGAGGAAGTGGGTCTCATTTATCTTTGCACAGGGGGGCACTGATCTCTGCTAAAGAGTTGGTGCAACTGCAATACACACAATAATAAAACCACAGCTGTCTGAATATTTTTTAACCCATTGTGAACCTTCCTGGATTCTTCAGAAGCTCCAACTCAACGTGGAGCGAGCATTGGCTTCAGCTCTCCGGGGTCTCAAATGCAAACCTCTCCCTTAGGGGGTGTGTGGGGCAGACCGAACCTTTCTCTTTTTTTTTTTTGGTTCAGGGCAGAATATTGGATGAGCCTGGCTGGGCTAGTGTCTAAACGCCAAATAGCTAAAATCACGCTTGAGCAGAGGGAGAGCAAATGTCTCCTGGCCACTAGGTGTTGGTATTACCCGCTTTCAGTGTGTTATGCCAGGGTACAGCAGAGTCTCCTCTGGCTGGTATTGGAAAGCAAGTCCTAACACTGGGGTGTAAAGTGACAAACTTAATTCACACCCCCCATCCCCAGCACTAGACACCCAGGGCTGCTCCGCACGAGCCTGCCCCGCTGCCGTTCCCTCTATGGGGAGTCTCACTCGCTCCCACCAGGCCCAAATGCAGTTTGAGTTATAGCACGTCCTTACCAGAGCGCCCCCTTGTGAGCCCCTCAGCGTCCCAGCTGGGCTTCTCCCCCCATCCGCCATCACTGTCAGGGTTGCAGAGACTTCGCTCTCCAGCTGGGCCACTTACCGAAATTCTCCCTCTTCTGGGGCACTCCACGCCCAAAGCCAGCACGAAGCAACAGAAACGTAACCTCTTCTCTGGGAGATTGAGTTCAGCCTCAGATCTGCTCTCTCTGCCTGCAGGTGAGCAGGGATCATCCTTTTAAGTGCCTCCCTCTAGCTGTCTCTCTTTGGACTGATTGGGCCTTCATTAGTCCTTTCCTACCTCTTGTGCCCCAGTGCAGGACCCAGAGGCCAGGAAATCAGCATCAAACTTGTCACACTGCAGGGATTCAAATAACCCCTGGTCTAAGTCTATCAACCAGTTAATTAGTCCAGTTGATGTATTAATCCGTTGTGCCATGCGGTTGTCCTCAGTGGGGTCACTCCAGGGATGGAGATGGTCCCAAATTGGTCTTGTGTTTCTATTACACCCCTGTCCATTGGAGCTGGGCTGCGAGGAAGCTGGTGGGGAGAGGAGAGACAGACAGCCCTGGGACTGGTGGATTGTGGTATCCGGCTTCTGTGCATGGCTGCCAGATGATCGACCGACATTGGCACATCTCTCTGTGGATCCCAGTGTTCGAGCCCCCCAAGCAAGGGAGCAAACCCCACTGCAGACAGATGAGCTGGGCCCGACTCCAGGCAGGAAACCGCAGCACTGTCTTCCCTCACCAGCTGTTCTTTACACTGGAAGGATGGGCTGTGCCCAGAGTTAACCAGCCGGAGAACACCAGCCACTCAGCGCTGGCTTGAAGTGAGTGATGGAAAACGGGCTTCACACACATCAGCAAAGGCTGACCCACAGGAAGCTGGCTTCATCTCAGCTGCTGTGCATAGGCGCCGACTTCTGCTCCCAGCGGTGAGTGCTCAACCCCCCTCTGCCCCAGACCCCACCCCAAATCCCATCCCACCTCCTCCCTTGAGCGCAGTGTGTCCCCACTCCTCCCCCTCCCTCTGGAAGCAGAACTGCTGGGAGGGAGGGGGAGGAGCAGGAACACAGCACGCTCAAGGGAAGAGCCGGGGGAGCTTGGCTGCCCGCGGGTACAGAGCACACGCTAATTTTTCCCCGTGGGAGCTCCAGCACCAGAGCACCCACACAGTCGGCGCCTATGCTGCCGTGTGACATTCTCAGTGTGGTTATCAGCAGTGGGTGTTAATGTAGATATGATCAATCCGATGAAGGGTGTGAAACAGCTGCCAGATGAGCAGAGGGTAAAAAGCCTGGGACTGTTCAGCTTCAAAAAGAGACGATCGAGGTCTATAAAATCACATAACATAAGAACCAGAGGTCTCCCAATGACATTAATAGGCAGCAGATTTAAAACAAACAAAATGAAGTATTTTTTCACACAGCACACCTGTGGAACTCCTTGCCCGGGGATGTTGTGAAGGCCAAAAGTATAACTGGGTTCAAAAAGAACTAGGTAAGTTCATGGAGGATAGGTCCACCCAGGGCTATTAGCCAGGATGGTCAAGGATGCAACCCCATGCTCTGGCCGTGGGGTGTGGAAGGAGAATCAGATTCGTAGTGAAATGTGCAGTGGTGATGTTAAGTGGATTTGCCAGAGAGAAGCTGTACTGATATAAATGGCATTAACGGATCCCCTATTTGATTAAGGGACACACAGGACTAAGGTTCGAGCTTCGGGTGAAGCTCTCAAAGGTGGAGGGCCATCGCTGGGCCTAGGAAAACGCCACCTTCCGCTCTGTCAGTGCTGGGACGCTTTAGAAATACACAAGAGAAACAGTGCCCCCAAAGGGGCACGTGTAAGCACAGAATGAACTGGTCTGCATGCGAACGCACCTTAGAATGGAATACATGCAGAGCTGCACTTCGCAGCCACAGAGCTGAAAATACAACTGTAAGAAGACAGATCTTCTTCAACAGAGAACTCTGAGTGTTGATTAATTATTTGAATTACAAGTGCAGGTAGTCCCAGGGCTAGGCACATTAAAACTGTACAATAATCCCTGTATTGAGTTTGTATCGCTGATTAGTATATTAGCTCCCACCCACATTTTAACGCTTGCAGTGGGTATTTCCATACTGATGTCCTGGAAGAGCCGCCCAGCTAGGCTCAACTCCACCTTGCTCCTCCCAGCCCTGGTCTCCACTCTATTTACACAGCAGATCAGGGTGCTCCGAAATAAACCTAGACAACATTGCAGCATCTTCTCCAGCCCAGCAGATGGTGCTAGGTCAGGGGAAAAAATAAAAATAAACCAATACATAAAAGGAGAAAAACCAACAACACAGACTAGAGCTAACTGGAAAAGCAGCATTTTGTCCTGCAAAAGTTTTCACAGAAAAAAAAATCCCCTTTCAAACACTTTAAAACATCCTAATGGAACAATTTTGCAAGTGCAAAACTTCTTTCCCTGCTTACATGTTTTTATTTGTTCCCAATTTCTTCCACTTTGGAGACAGTGAGTGAGAAAGGGTTTGTATGCATCTGTGAAGGGGGGGGGGGGGGAGTTTAAGGAACACTTTCACTTTGAAATGTGAATTGAACACACCATATTACTTTCAGA